CCGCCCCCTCCTGCCGCAATGGATTGCAAGGCACATCATGCCTGCGGTCCGATCCGGCCAAACTGATGCAAGCAACATTGTGATCGCACTGGACCGGACCGCAGGCATAATGTGCCTTGTGAACCCGTGCGGCCGATCGCATTGCGGCCGGAGGTTCCTCTTAGGGCCCGTCCACACCAGATGCAGTGCGTTCCGGCCCGATTCTGCCCCGCATTGCTGCCGACTCACTTTTTTGTGAGGCAGGAGGGGGCGTGGCAGGCCATTGAAGTGGATAGCACTGTAGCCCCTCCTGCCCCACAAAAAAGTGAGCCGGCAGCAATGCGGGGCAGAATCGGGCCGGAACGCACTGCATCTGGTGTGGACGGGCCCTAAGAGAAATCATTTCCTTCCCGCGGAGCAGGAGTTCTAAAATGGCGCTACGGGGGAGGGGCAGCATTAGAGACATCAGTTTGAAAGTTCCGGACATTCCGACAGCTAGACAGACATGACGCAACATACAGAAAGAAGGAGGAGCTGCTTGTGCCTTGCTGGTAGTAAAACTCGTCAGTCGAGTCTTTTTCAATCTCAGTGATAAATAAATAAGGGGCCCCTAGGCCGTAGCCGTGCGTGCGCATCAATGACATGAATTAGTATTGTGTAGCTCGCACCGGCAGCCGGCCAAAAGCGGAGTGCAAACTCTGAGCGAACAGAATGCATGGGCGTGACATCACCGGCATGGCGGCTCCACGTTTGTAAACAAAGCCCCCCACAAAGTGTCCCGTGCGTCAGAAGACTGCGAGATGGCTAAGTCTGAGCTTCCGGCAGCTTCCTGCTGGGGCCCGGCCTGGGAGTGCCGAGCCGCGGTGCTGTGTGGATGAGGCCGCGACTGGACTCGCAGTTCAGGTTCTGATAGCGGGAGGTGTCTGGAGGCGAGCGGCGGCACACTGATATGAAGCTGAATCCCCCCAGGCAGCAGGCAGGGCAGGACACCGTCTCTTCGTGGTCCAGGACTGAACTGGAGGAGGCATGCAAGGGAGCCATACTTCCACTCTCTGCTCCCTCGCACCCCAGGCCTGGCAAGCTACCCTCCCATAGGTTGCCCTCCAGCGAGCCCAGAGGGTGAGGATGCAGCAAGCCCACCCATCCGATGGGTTTGCTGCTGACTACATTGTTGTTGTCCGAAAGGCTTATCCTGTTGGGGACACCCGGTGGTTCCTGTTGCCACGTGCTTACGGGGGGAGAGGGGGAACGGGAAGACGAAGGTGTAGAAGACGATGAAGAGTGCGGAGGGGTTGGGCGAGCCGGAAGCGAGCCGTTGGCGCGCCCCTGCGACAGCCTCCTGCAGAAAGTGTTCTCTTCGGTGCTCTCCGGGCTGCTTGAACAATCCATGGGCTCGCCGATCTCCGGACGCTCAAACTCCGCATTGCCCCCCGCTATTGTCCCATTGGGTTTCCATTGCCGGTTCCAGTCTTTCGAACTCTCATGAGGCTTTGGGATCTCTGGACCTCCAGGTTTAATCCTTGCCCCGTGATGGTGGAGATTTGGGGAAACCGCTTTGCTCTCCCAGTCTGGAACACTGATGGTGCCCTCAGCCGGTCCCTTTCCCTCCTCACTACATGGGGGAGTCGTGTTTTTTGCTAACTGCTCACTGTTTGGATGTAGGGCTTTCCTTTCTGCGGCCTCCTCCTTCAAGTGGTCTACGAGCGCCCCACCAGTAGGTCTCAGTTCATGGCTACACGTGTTGGCGCTCGCATCCAATGTCCAGTCTTTATCGTGCAGAGATTCTCCGGTTCCAAGAGATTCAAGGTGACCCGGAGAAGTTAGACTTTGGGGCAGATCTTTGGGGGGAATCTCCGAAGAGTTTTGGAAATCCTGCTGTAAGAATCCATTGACTGTCCTATGGCCTCCATCTGTTTGTACAGAGTTGACATTACCGTCATGCCAAAGTTCACCGCTTTCCCCTTCACAGTGGAGGCCTCTCTGCACCGGGGTGGTGACGGGGCAAGGACTTCCTCTCCGCACAATCTCAGGAGAGGATGGAAGAGAGCGGCAGCGTCTCGGTCTGCCCAGCATCTCGGAAAAGTCACACTGGGCATCCACCATGGGCTCGGGGGTGATGGGACTGCTGGTCTGATACGTCAGTGGCGGTGGGAGGTCAAATGTCAATGAAATGACCGATCTGCTTGGGGTGTCGTAAAGCTTAATTCTTCCGCCCTTCAGGTCTTCTCTCTGCGAGAAGGGGTTAATGCGGGCGGGAGTGTCACGCAAGAGGTCATTGTACAGATCCTGAGAGCGCTGTAAGAGCGGCGGCTGAGGAGAGAACATGTCGGACTGGCTGCGGGACAAACGCTGATCGGAGGGCGATGGAAGATCCCAGGTCCGTTCCTGATTATCCGAGAGCATGGAAGGTCTCCTTCCTCCTAAAAAAACAAGAAAATGGACAAAAATGGCGGTCAATGCCCAAACTGCGACATACATTTCTGCTACAAATACAGATTCATCGAACAGTCATTGTCATACAAAGGACAAGAAGACATTAGACGTGTATGATGGGAAAAAAGGTTTCTCGTATTCGGAGTTCTTAAATCCTGTTCTAGGAGTCCGTTAAGGGACACAGGGATTCAGATACTTTTGGGTTATACACTCACCGGCCACTTTATTAGGCACACCTGTAAAATTGCTTGGTAACACAATTCGCTAAATCGGCCAATCACAGGGCAGCATCTCAATGCATTTAGGCCTCTAGACGTGGTGAAGACGACTTGCTGAAGTTCAAACCGAGCCTCAGAATGGGGAAGAAAGGGGATTTCAGTGACGTTGAACGCGGCGTGGTTGTTGGTGCCAGACGGGCTGATCCGAGTATTTCAAAAACTGCGGTTCTACTGGGATTATCACACAAACATCTCTCAGAGGAGAATGGCCAGAGGTCCGAGGAGAATGGCCAGAGGTCCGAGGAGAATGGCCAGAGGTCCGAGGAGAATGGCCAGAGGTCCGAGGAGAATGGCCAGAGGTCCGAGGAGAATGGCCAGAGGTCCGAGGAGAATGGCCAGAGGTCCGAGGAGAATGGCCAGAAGGAGAATGGCCAGAAGGAGAATGGCCAGAAGGAGAATGGCCAGAAGGAGAATGGCCAGAAGGAGAATGGCCAGAAGGAGAATGGCCAGACTGCTTTGAGATGATAGAAAGACAACAGTAACTCATATAACCCCTCATTACACCCGAGGTATGTAGAATACCATCTCTGAACGCACAACATGTCCAACCTTGAAGCAGATGGGCTACAGCAGCAGAAGACCACACCGGTTGCCACTCCTGTCAGCCAAGAACAGGAAACGTAGGCTACAATTCACACCGGATCATCAAAACTGGACAATGGAAGATTGGAAAAACATTGCCTGGTCCGACGAGTCTCCAATTCAGCTGCGACATTCGGATGGTCGGGTCAGAATTTGGCGTAAACAACATGAAAGCATGTATCCATCCTGCCTTGTATCAGCGGTTCAGGCTGGTGGTGTAATGGTGTGGGGGATATTTTCTTGGTACACTTTGGGCCCGTGATGCTATCATGTCACTATGGACCTTAGGGTTAGGAATGTTTCCAACACCTTGTTGGATCTATGCCATGGAGAATGAAGGCAAAAGGGGGTCCATCCCGGTACTAGCAAGGTGTACCTAATAAAGTGGCCGGTGAGTGAATATCCACCTAAAGAAAAATGTGGCCACTAGCAAAACTGAAAAAAGTTTGGCCAGCCCAGGAAAACCCGTCCTCTACCCAACAAGTCTCACAGGTCTATTCACTAAGGGGGAGGAGTTTGGAGAAGGCCAGAGAAGTAAACAATCTAGGACAACATCGCTGACCTGGAAAGATTCTCCAATTCAGCTCACTTTCCAGTTCAGCGATGTTGTCCTAGATCAGGGGTGCCCACTATTTTTCGTCTGGAGATCTACTTTTCAAATGACGAGCTCATTGAAATCTACCAACGAAAAAACACCTGCATTCAGGGGCGGGAGGGGGCGTGAGATACAGAGAAGCGGCGGGAGGAGAGGACATGGCGATCTACCAGTGATCGCTACGCGATCGACTGGTAGATCGCGATCGACCTTGTGGGCACCCCTGTCCTAGATTGTTCACTTCTCCAAACTCCTCCCCCTTTAGTGAATAGACCCCTCAGTTTATAGCAGTGCCAACAGCATGATTATAACGCAGGTGGCTTGGATCAGTGTCCCTCAATGGACTCCAAGAACAGAACTTAGGGACATATGAATGCAGATACTGTCGGGATCTCCAAAACCAGTCCAACTGAGTGGCGAGCGGCCAGAATCAAGCCCAACAAAACCGAGGACCTGTCTGAAGGACCAAAGCCCCAACATTGAAGCAGATGAGGCCGAGCCCCCTACCAGATAGTGGAACCTGCCAACAACCAGAAGGAGGAAACAGAAAATGAACCTGATGCAGAAGACCGGATAGAAAAGGTCATCAGAGGGGAATCACTCCATATGGAAGGCGACACTGAAACCAGAACCAAGAGACCCACAACCTCCATGAGGAATGGCGCAAGTCAAGGGGCCGCACTCTCCCTTATATTATTACTTATACTGTAAAGAAGAGGGATGGGAACAACCAATACTAATTGGATCCAGAGCCAGATATTAGGGGCGGAAGATTTCACCAGAGGTTGACCCAACCCTAAAGCCTAGGACTGATGCAGCCCATCCAAACTGACTGCCCCTTTAACAGGCTCCGGAGAAGTCCAATTCGTTCATCTACAGAATCAAACGAGGCGGCTTCTTGTAACTGATACTGCGAAAATCTCCACACTTACCGCTGCCCGGGGTCACCGACTCCGCCATCTCCTTCCGGCTTGTGCGTGGGGTCTTCATCACATCCATACTGTCCAGGATGTCCTCCAGCCGCTGACTCACCTCACAGAAGGACGGCCTGGAGTCAGCTGACATCTACGGATCAATGAGAAGAGAGTCAGTCACTTTCAGCTAGGGATACACCGATACTAGTATTGGTATCAGTGCCGATACCGAAAATTTGGGTGAGTACTCGCCCCGATCCCGATGCTCCAACACCTTCCCCGATACCAGAACTTCCTCTGACCGCCAGTGCCGTAGGAGGAACATGGAGCCAGCTTCCTGGCCAATCAGGAAGCCAGGCGGCAAGTAATGACCCGCCTCCCTTATTGGCCAGGAAGCCGGCTCCATGCTGATTGGCTGGAACACCGGCTTCCCAGCTAATCAGCACCGGGCCAGCCGAACTGCTGGCTCGATGCGGATTGCCCGGGAAGCCATCTTCCCAGCCAATCAGGAAGCCAGGAGGTGGGTCATTACTCGCCGCCTGGCTTCCTGATTGGCTGGAAATTTGGTTTCCCAGTCAAACATGGAGCCGGTTCCGAGGAAATCAGAAAGCCGGGTGGCATGTCATTACCCGTCCTCTGTCTTCCTGATTGCCTGGGAAGCCGGTGTTCTATCAAAGTCTGTGACTGCGTTAGAATGTGTGACCAGTGACGTGGTCACACATGTTAACGTGATTCCGCCCACTTTTTCGGCGGTGGTCTATGTGATCTGCAAAAACGTGAAGAATTGCTGCCGCATAGTGTGAATGTTCCCGTACAGTCCATGTTTCTTATCCTGTCCTGTAAGGAGCTACAATGACGTATCCGGTTACACCCCCCGAATATCATTCCACTTCTCTCCATGGACAATGGACATACCCAACAACAGTGGAAGGCCAGCTGGAGGAAGGCGGGGGGACAGTCTGGCTGCACCATGTCCCGAAACGACTTGATGTCCAGACCGAAATCCTGCGAGAGGAGACACGGGGAGATGAGAGAACAAATCAGCACAACACATGGACTCCACCTTGAATCTGACCCAATCCACCATTTACTGGGAAGAAAGGCGGGGCCGGAGCACTCCCTGAAGGGGAATGGGAACGGTTGGAAGGGAGTCTGGGGATCTCAGTACGGACCTGCAGGACGGGAGTCTGGGGATCTCAGTACGGACCTGCAGGACGGGAGTCTGGGGATCTCAGTACGGACCTGCAGGACGGGAGTCTGGTGACCTGTGCACGGACCTGCAGGACGGGAGTCGGGTGACCCGTGTACGGACCTGCAGGACGGGAGTCGGGTGACCCGTGTACGGACCTGCAGGACGGGAGTCGGGTGACCCGTGTACGGACCTGCAGGACGGGAGTCTGGTGACCCGTGTACGGACCTGCAGGACGGGAGTCTGAGGATCTCGGTACGGACCTGCAGGACGGGAGTCTGAGGATCTCGGTACGGACCTGCAGGACGGGAGTCTGGTGACCTGTGTACGGACCTGCAGGACGGGTGACCCGTGTACGGACCTGTCTGGTGACCCGTGTACGGACCTGCAGGACAGGAGTCTGAGGATCTCGGTACGGACCTGCAGGACGGGAGTCTGAGGATCTCGGTACGGACCTGCAGGACGGGAGTCTGGTGACCTGTGTACGGACCTGCAGGACGGGTGACCCGTGTACGGACCTGTCTGGTGACCCGGGGACGGACCTGCAGGACAGGAGTCTGAGGATCTCGGTACGGACCTGCAGGACGGGAGTCTGGTGACCCGTGCACAGACCTGCAGGACGGGAGTCTGGTGACCCGTGCACAGACCTGCAGGACGGGAGTCTGGGGATCTCGGTACGGACCTGCAGGACGGGAGTCTGGTGACCTGTGTGCGTGGCTCACCTCGGTGCGGGGAAGGTAGTCGGGATCGGCTGGAATCCGGGCGATGATCTCACACAAGATGATCCCGAAGGCGAAGACATCGGCCTGGAGGAGGAGGAGGAGGAGGAGGAGGGAGGCCGGTAAGTGGAGGTCACACTCAGCCGTTGGTTAGCAATGTGATACATAGAGGAAGATTACCTTCTCGTTGTAGAGGTCACCCCGCAGCACCTCGGGGGCCATCCAATATGGGGACCCAACCACAGAGAGCGGCTCCGTCTGACTGCAAGATAGAGACCGGGAACATGAGGGGAGGCCGCACAATATCACAGCATATAGAGGCCTACAGGCTCCTACAAGGGGGACCACCCCCCGAATCCGGCACCACTGCTACACCTGGGTGCTGGCCCATGCTGGCTTCTGACGTCATTCAGGGAATCCAATGATGAGACTCTCCAACCGTTTCCAGGTCACCCCAAAACTTCCACAACTACTACAGAGCCAAATGGAGGTGTCACCTGACCTGATAACCTAACCTACTGGAGGAAGTCTCACCATTGTGGGAGGAGCAGAGACACAAACTACTGGGAGGAAATCTCACCATTGTGGGAGGAGCGGAGACACAAACTACTGGAGGAAATCTCACCATTGTGGGAGGAGCAGAGACACAAACTACTGGAGGAAATCTCACATTTGTGGGAGGGGCGGAGACACAAACTACTGGGGCAAAATCTCACCATTGTGGGAGGGGCAGAGACACAAACTACTGGGGGAAAATCTCACCATTGTGAGAGGGGCAGAGACACACACTACTGGAGGAAATCTCACCATTGTGGGAGGAGCAGAGACAAAAACTACTGGAGGAAATCTCACCATTGTGGGAGGGGCAGAGACACAAACTAAGGCAGGAAATGCTCATGTATCATTATAAAGGGCATATTTATACCCAGCGTTAGGAAGGTTTGCTCAGCTCAGTAGAGTTCCCCTATACACTCCCTGCACAATGCCCCTTGTAATATAACCTCCCAGTACACGGGGACGTGGTGCGTGGAAGCCGCGCAGGGGTCAGTGACTCGGTGTTATTAAGCTCAGTAATTATTAATCGCAGATATTTGATCTGTGGACCCGAGTGCGACACCTCCTGCGTTGTGGCTGAACAGGGAGCGGCACCGTCCCCCAGCATAAGATTTAAAGGTGAACTCCGGGCACATGTATAGAAGACACAGAAGGCAGCTCATGGAATCGTTATGACATCCTGCAGTGCGAGTACTTGTATATGACCCGGTATCAGCCTCCTGCAGTCCCTGTACAGCAGAGCTCAGGCTGGAAGAGGGAGAAGCAGCTCATGGACAAAATCAGGTGTGCTGCAGAGCTCATGTGGTAACAAACGAGGGTGGGGCGACTCCACATATAATAACACATGTGCACAGGGTGAGCGGTTTATTAGAAGATGTGCAGCTCCCATACAAGTCAGCATGAGGTCACATGACCAGGGCTCTCACCTGCGGTCAGGTATCTTCTCAGCCAGTCCGAAATCTGCCACCACGGCTGTGTACCCGCTGTCGTCATATCGCACCAGGCAGTTCTAGGAGAGACAGGGAGACGTCACTATATACACAACAGCCGTGCCGGGCCACACATGAGCATGTCATCTCCATCCATCATCACATGTGACGAACCATGAACACACGAGACTCCTCCCCCAGGACAGGAAGTGGAGGTAAATCTCCCCAAGCAGGACACAGAAGGAACATTTTTTTACCTGATTGGGTATTTATAAAGTATAACGAGTGAGAGGGACCACGCTGTGCCTGCGCTCCCACCAATTACAGAAAATGCTGAGGAGGAGCTTCAAAGCTGTAAATATATACGCATGTGCCAGGCAAGCCCAGCATCTACCCCAGTACCAAGGAGAACACCATACAATCAAGCCCAGCATCTACTCTGGGTAGCACAGAGCGGGCCACACATTATACAACTGGACTGGATGGACTGCACATTCTTGATGTTTGGGGCACCATGGGACCAAAATGAATGATAAAAATTGGATGAGGTCACCCAGAGCTGTGATGGTGTTAGAGAAGTATGTCTACCCTGGTAAGGTGGGGGGATTACCTTGGAGGTGAGGTCCCGGTGGAAGGTGGGGGGGATAACTTGGAGGTGAGGTCCCGGTGGAAGACTCCCTTAGAGTGCAGATAGAGCAGACCGCGAGCGATGTCCAGACTCAGCTTCACCCGGACAGACCAGGACAGGGGGTCCGTACTCTGCAGTACCTGCTCCAGGTTCCCGCCATTGATGTACTACAAACACACAACGTCATGAGGACAGGTCTCCGTACAATGATCTCAGCACCAATCAGCATGCTGGGTGTACTCACCTCGGTCAGGGCATGAAGCTGCCCCTGCTGGACACAAACCCCCATAAACCTGAGAAAGAGACAGAGGAGTCAGCGAGGGAACCCCAACATGACACGAGACAAAATATCCCCCACACAGTGTATACATTATATATACACAGGACATCCACCCAACTTCGGCGACATGGAGGTATGTCTGCAATTATCTCTTACATGGGGGTACCCCCGTCTGAGGTTATTGGGGTAACAGTATATGGGGGTACACCTGCCTGATATTGGGATGACAGTATATGGGGGTACAGCCGACTGAGGATATTGGGGTGACAGTACATGGGGGTACACCTACCTGAGAATATTGGGGTGACAGTATATGGCGGTACACCTGCCTGATGATATTGGGATGGCAGTATATGGGGGTACACCCGACTGAGGATATTGGGGTGACAGTACATGGGGGTACACCTACCTGAGAATATTGGGGTGACAGAGCCGGTTCATCAGCTGGACCTCCCGCAGCATATTGGCGCGGTTACTCATCATCTTGTTCATCTTCAGCACCATGATCTGTCCCGACTGGCGATGGCGCACCTACAGAAAGAGCGACAAAGTGAGCGCACATCACCACTGACATCATCACATCACCACTGACATCATCACACCACCACTGACATCATCACATCACCACTGACATCATCACACCACCACTGACATCATCACATCACCACTGACATCATCACACCACCACTGACATCATCACATCACCACTGACATCATCACACCAGGTGTCCTGTACTATTCTCCGATGACATCATCACACCAGGTGTCCTGTGCTATTCTCCGATGACATCACATCAGGTGTCCTGTACTATTCTCCGATGACATCATCACACCAGATGCCCTATACCTTCAGGTCATGTCACACTGGGAACAGGAGCACAGCATGCATACATAATGAGCAGGTGGGGCTCCAGCCATGTATATGGTATAATGTCATCATACGCTGTATATCTGATGTATATTACACATTCTATACACCCCGATGTGGATGGCGGTGCGGTGACATTTGTCATCACCGCTCTGCCAGCTGCAGTAGAACATTCCTCAGATCCTTCGTACTGATGAAGATCTCCCGCCGTCCGCCCGTACCGAGGTCATTATGGGGAAAGGAGGTATATAGGAGGTATATAGCAGATCTACAGATAACGAGGACTATACTCAGTACTGTGCACTCGTTTTAGGCCGATGTGAAACAAAAATTCTGCAAAGTGAGAAAGTTTCAGAAATATTTTATTGTTTATTTTTACCAATTTACGAAATGAGTGAAAAGAAGCGAAATCCAAAATCAATCCTCGGTGTGAGCGCCCTTTGGCACAGTCAGGTATAACATTTGCACAGTCAGGGATTTGGTAGGGTTAGAATCCGGTATATGATGCACCAATTACACCGATCAGGTCTAATGATCATCGATTTCACACAATCATTACCCGACACAGAAACAGCCGTGTGGGAAGCTTAAAACTGGGCGAGGAAAAGTCCGACTCTGCTACTATGGTGAGGTTGTGGAAGACAGTTTCATGTCACAGGTCACACGGCAAGACTGAGCACAGCAACAAGACACAAGGTAGTTGTACTACATCAGCGAGGTCTCCCCCGGGCATAGATCTCACAGCAGGCCGGCGGAGGGTTCCAGAATGTGCCGTTGAAGCTCTTGTGAAGAAGCTCAAAGAAACGGGCAACGTTGAGGACCGTAGAGTGTAGGAAGGTAGACAACGTGGTCAGCCGGGGAAACAATGCAGCAAATGAAAGACACATCGCGCTTCCTTCCCTTCCACATCAGAAGATGTTCAGCAGTGCCATCAGCACAGAACTGGTGGAAACCAGTGGGACCCGGTACACCCATCTACTGTACGGAGAAGTCTGGAAACCAGTGGGACCCGGGTACACCCATCTACTGTCTGGAGAAGTCTGGAAACCAGTGGGACCTGGGTACACCCACCTACTGTCTGGAGAAGTCTGGAAACCAGTGGTACCCGGGTACACCCATCTACTGTCCGGAGAAGTCTGGAAACCAGTGGGACCCGGGTACACCCATCTACTGTCTGGAGAAGTCTGGAAACCAGTGGGACCCGGGTACACCCATCTACTGTCTGGAAACCAGTGGGACCCGGGTACACCCATCTACTGTCTGGAGACGTCTGGCCAGAAGTGGTCTTCATGGAAGAAATGCGGCCAAAAAGCCATAACAAGGCTCGGCGACTCAACTATGAAGGAAAACACAGGAACTGGGGGGCAGCAAATGGCAGCGGGTGCTCTGGGCTGAGGAGTCACAAGGTGAAATATCTGGCTGTAGCGGGAGGCAGTAAGGGCCGGAGGGCGGCACAATAATGAGTTTCTGCACCAACCGTGAAGCATGGTCAGGGGTGGGGAAATGTAATAATCCGCGGCCCGATCTACTTGTCCTGATACACAAAAATCATTTTAACCAAAACCGTATTTAGCTGTGCCAAGAACTGCTTCTCATTGGTCAATGCCGTCAGGTGACCGCGCTGACCAACGAGTGCTTGCAATTTTCGAGCTGATTTCAGACATGGCAGAAGTACAGATAGTACCCCAGTACTGGCGGACAGGAAGGACTATTTGCTGAAAGGCAAGTATAGTGGGAGGGGGGGGGCAGATTTGTGCAGATAATTCAATTTTCTCAAATTACTTGGGAAAGTGAATTGACCCTTTGGGGCCGGTGCAGACTCGGGCGATCGTGTGCGGTTGCATACAGTGGTAGTGTCGACCGCGGTCGCGCCGGAAGTGACGTCACTTCCCTTATACAGGCCTTTGGAACGCATGGACCGCCTCCTCCGTGCGCTCCACCACCACGAGCGCACCGCTCCCCCGCGCCGAAAAAACCCTGGACCACCCGGACGGGCCGTAGCCTGGGACCATGGAGGAAAGGAGCGCCTGGGACCAGGGCCGGCCTTAGGCCTTTAGGCGCCCTGTGCGAGAAAGCTTTACAGCGCCCCTCAGTGACCACACCCTTTAGTGGTCACACCCCCAGTAAGCACACCCATTTATCACCCATATTTTTGGTAAAATATAAAAAGATGGGGTCACGTCGGGTAAATAGACACCAAACATGTAATGCTTTAAAATTGCACGCACGAAATCGCAAAAAATTACCATGCCCAAAATTGACCATAGGTGACGCTTTAAAAGCTTTTACCGCTCATCAGTTTAGTGTTATCAGTGATTGATAGCCCTACAATTATTGCTCTCATTCCGACGTTCGCGGCGATATGTAACATGTGCGGCGTAATGGGTGAAATCGTCGTTTTCACACGTATGCGCACCCGACGCCTTTTTGCATGCGTGTATGTATGGAGGGGACTTTAAAAATTTTTTATTATTTTTTATTTGTAACTTTACATTTTTTTGGGGGAAACTTTATTGCTATCACATAGGGGGGTTAGAAAACCCCCTTATGTGATAGCAAAATATGTGACAGGTCCTCTTTATGGAGACATCAGGGGTCTCCAAGACCCCTA